GATAAAAGACTGACAGTCTGAACAAAGAGCACTGCTTATCTCTCTGTTTTTATAATTAAAACTTGCCTTAGTTATCAAACATAAGTTGTTTACAATATTCTTATGAACTGGGTAAAAGTAAACATTGGAGTATCCCTACTTTAGCAGATAAATCAATAATTTTTTCTAGTAAAAATTTTAAAATTTGTCTGAATCTCACTATTGGTGCTTTCAATCTTGTAACAGGAGATAAGAATAGTTTTTCCAATCGATTTATTGCTTATACCTCTTAATGTCATAAAAGGTCATCTCAAATGTCTACTATGCTTCAAACCGCCTAGGTTATTTCAATAGTATTTTTGGTGGCCTAAACATTTTTATTGAAGACAATTTTTCAGTGTTGCCCAGTTGATGACCATAATAAAATGTGCTTATCTCCAAACTTCAAAGATCTTGAAGTTTGAGAAAAGAAAGATGCCAATAAAAACTGCGATTAGATGAGGAACATGTATACTAAAAGATATTTTGGTGTAAATTATTCTGTATAATACAGGCGCATTTAGAGCCACAGTTTAGTCTTTTTTTTAATTTTTTTTTTTTTTGACTTGCTAGAGAGACCTGGGAGGTGGGAATAGCAAGCACCAACCCTTCACCCCGGGAAGTTAGCCTTTCAATTCTTTCTTCTCCATTTCTCCTTTGGGATTTTGGGTATATACACACATGCACCTGGCCTGTCTTCCAGGCCACTTCAAAACACCATGCAGTTGCCATGTGGGATCTAGCTGCCTCAAACAACAAGCCAGTGGCTGGCCCCCATAGTTCATCCTGAAGAGTTTTTCTTTGTCAAGTTCCACTTTGCCACATTTCCCCGTGGGCCCTGGTAATCTTTATTAATTCAAAGCTTTACCAAATTATAATGCAGTCTTTTATTGTTCCACCATACTAACGCAGCCACAAATTAGATTTTATATTATTATGAAATACAAAGTCCTTTCAAAAAAATTTGTTTTTAATCTTTCATGAGTGAGAGAAGGAAAAGAGGTATCTTTGACAAGGCCTCATTGTACTGTGATCATCCCCCATTCTTTCCTGCCAGCTGGAATCACAGGTGTGCACATGCCCAGTGTGTTCAGGTTGACCCAGGATCCAAACCAAGGCCCCCCATGTGGTTCCAGCTTTTGCCTATGCCATCACAGCTGAGCCATTCCAGAATATTTAAATGTGATTTAATTATAGATTTTATTATATTAAGTTTGTGAATAAGAAGCTAATATTTCTATATTTTGTTGTGGATTAAATAAATTATATTTGTTGGAATAAGATTTGACCTGTATCTTCATGAAAAAACATAATGGTCTTTGTGATCCGTTTTCTTTTTAAAATAATGAATATATTTTATTTTATTTATTTTTAAGGTTTTTGCTATAGGGTGTGTGTACTTGCTGAAGAGAGACCGAGAAAGACAGTGAGAGGGAAAGTGAGAAATTACCCCCCCAGGAGAATGGCAGTGTTGCAGTTCCTTCTTCTCCATTCTCCTCTTGGGAATTTAGGCATGTACGCACATGTACCCAGTGTGATTTTCAAATCACTGGGTCCAGGATTCAAACCACCGTCAGCCATATGGGAGTTCCTTAACCACTATACCACCTTTGTTTTTAAGAGAAGTTTTAGATCCACAGCAAAATTAAGCAGAAAATATATAGAATCCCTTACAACCCCCCCGTCTTTACTCTCACACAATCTCCCTGTTAACATCCTGCATACCACAGTGGACATTTGTTGCAGCCAATGAACTTACGCTGACACTTCATCATCATCCAAAGTCCTTGGTGTATGTATGATTCACTCTTGGTATATGTTCTGTGGGTTTTGACAAGTGTTCGATGACGTGTATCCATCCCAATAGTATCACACAAGATAGTTTCACTGCCCTAAAGATGCCCCGTGCTCTATCTGTTCATCTCTCCCTCTCCTCCTAAGCCCTGGCAACCACTGATATTTTTACTGTCTGTGTAGTTTTGCCTTTTCCTGAATATCATGTGGTTGGAAGCATACAGGGTGTGGCCTTTCAGACTGGTTTCTTGCATTTAGTAATATATAATTTTTATGCTTTTTCATGGCTTGATAGCTCATTTAAGTGCTGAATAATATTCTGTGGTTTGGATGTGTCACAGTTTATGACCTATTTATTTTTATTTCTAGTTCTAATTGCCATCCCAAATTTTTTTAGCGCATGTTTTTTTAAAAAAAGCAAAACACAAAAAAGGTTACTTATATGATCTATCAGATAAAAGGTAGCAGCTTCCAAACTGAAATTAATTTCACCCATGTGATACTGGGCTTGTTTTACATTTGGGAGAAAATGTATTAAATATATCAGATAATTTCAAAATGTATGTTAACTTATCTAAGTCTGTTTTTTCCCCCATTGGATTTTAAACTGAGGAAGTTCTGAAGACTATGAGAATATGATTGCAAATTTGGTGACGTTGCAGTGTTTCTTTTGTTGAACAATACTTTGAATAAATGTTGATAAAAGTGCTAATTATATTATTGCTGATTCATGAAAGGAAACCACCTTCTGTTACTGGTTTCTTTGACTTTATATTTACTGCTACTACCAAGAGAAAGGAAGCTTTGTGAACATCCTCTGTCACAGTCAATTACACAAATTAATTACAAGTGACATGTAAGCATCTGGATTAGACAGCAGCTCTGAATTCTGAGTGTAAGGATGGCCCATGATAAACATAGGCTGAATGGCAAGTGGATGGAAGTTGGGATCATAACAAGGTTGGTCACACTGGGGAAATGGGAAGGCCTGACAGATGGTAGATATCTGATGAAAATTTTGAGATTATTTTTATGTGTACTGACTGTATTTGCTTTGTAGCTACAGAAACTTATGTAACATGGCATTACTGCAGAGATGAAGGTGTGAAAGAATATTAGATTAGAATTAATGAGGCCTGTGGTCTGGTATCAAGTCTTCTACTAATGAGCTCTAAAATAAATGTCAGATCACAAGTTTGTCAAGCCTTTATTTTTTCATCTATCAGATGGGAATAATAATACTTTCCTTGTTTTCTCCTGACTGTTGTAGAAATAAGATCCATTCATTCTTTCTTTTATTAATATAATGAAAGTCCGTAGTAGGTACCAGAGTCATATGTGTGATGAAGTAATTGAAGGAAAAGCACTTTACAGAATTTATTTGAATACTTGTTAGGTTTTTAAGACTGTAAGATAATTTATTATTTTTATATTAAGATCAAATCAACTCTTTATTTTAATATACCAGAATTTTGGGTCGTTGGAAGAGTCATGATACATTTTTGCATAGAAAAACAGAAAAATATATCATGACTTTTCCAACAATTCAACAATTGAAACTTAGATCTCTACCAATCATTAAGCTATATTCATAAAATGTCTCTAATTTATCTATAAGTTACAGTTGTACCTGCCTCAGAGAAGACAAAAATAAAGTTCTAATGTTTTTGTTAAAAAAAAATTGTACAAAAAGTTGCAAATCCATCTTTTCGGTGGGCGTACCCTATTTTGAGTTGAATAAAGATCTTTCTTTAGAACAATTTTGTGTACAGCGCAAGTATTAAATTGCATAGTGCTTTTTCCCTCCTATGAAATGGAATTTAAATACAATATTTGGAAAAAGTCTTCTTTCACCAAAAAAGGCCCTTCGGTCTACATTATTATTTTTCTTTTGAAGAATCAGTCTTGTTCATCTCTCCCCTCCCAAGTGATTTTCCTCACCCACATAATCATTTTCTTCCCAAATACCCTTTTTTATTTCCCAAGAAAAGATTTTAAAAATCATTCTGAAGGCACAGCTAGAATTTCATAGCAATATTTTATTTGTGTTCACAGTGCAAGATAAATCTGACTCTTTCCATTTTTTTATCTTCATATGGCATCTGAAACAGTTGTTCACATTCACACATTTATGTTTCACCATATGCATGCTGTGTGCAGCTCTGTTGTTTTAAAATATTTTATTGGTTTTCCTTTTATCTCAACTTTTGATGGGTGTCCTTGAAGAACTTGCATGAAAAAAAAATGTAAATGTGAATGATTCATTCATTTTGAACATATGTAACTATTTTAGAAGATTTTCAGGAGATTTTACCCTACATGGAGCACGCTGTTCCTGGCAGGGAATATGCTTTATTATATTACAAGTCTACTCACAGCTGGATGCTGCAGATGCATTCACATCGTGAACCTGTACCTCGTCCGTTCCATGTTTACTTTACTACATTATTTATACGCACTAGACTGTGCTGAGTTTTTGTTGGTTGTCAATGGTGGGCAATAGTTCTATGAATTGCACATTTGGGGGTAGTTTAGCATCACAAGACTTAGTTTAAAACCTGGTCTCCCTCTAGATTTCTAAGTCACTATACGGATTCCTTGGCAAACTCATCAAGCCTAGACTTTCACGTGTAAGGGAAGAGCTGCCCCAAACCTCTTCTAGTGCTTCATAGGCATTTTCAGACCTGTCTGTTATCATATTTCTTCCTCTAGAGTTTTCCAGCACAGAGTCCTTACATGATCCAGAGGTCAAGAGAGAGAAAACTTACTTTCTCCTCTGAAGGGTTGAAGCCTCATTTTAGAAACTTCTAAAACTCTTCAGGACATACTATGTAGGTGCCCTTGTATTTCTCATATTAAGTCTTATTGACTTATGGTGTCTCCTATTAAAGAAGCATGAATGTATCTCTAGCTGTTCCCAGAACAAACAGCCATTGAATGTAATGACCCATCCCATTCCTGAATCTATGTCTATCAATGAATAATTAATGTATAGAAAAGGGTTTGGAAATCTTTAAATTGTTGAACTTAAAAACTAGAATACCTTTCTATCTTTTATAATGTTTGAGATTTCATAACAATAGTTTTAATGTATTACGGTTCTACTGTTAAATCTTGTTTTAACTAAGCAAATGAGTGAAATATTTAATGTCGATACTCTTGTGTTAGAACCATGCTTTGGAAAATATGTTAGAAAATACAAAATTGTTTACCTGTGATCAAGAATAAGTTTGTGATTAGAAGAATTATGCTGTTTTTCTTGTACAAATAATGCTTAAGGCAGATGTTCAGTCTCATGGAGATGTTGGAAAGCATATATTATGCAGCCTAAAAACTATTTCTGTATTAGATATTTAAATGCATGAGGATAAATTCTAATTGCTTTTTGTTTAAAACAGAAACATAGGAGAAGCATTAGCTCCAGTTTGTACAAAATGTCTGCAGCAACTGAATTCATGATAGTTCAGAACTGAAAATCATTCCAATTTTGTAAAACTGCTGCTTCTGGTTTTATCAATAAAATTTTTAGCAGATGGCTCGTATGTACATGTGTGAATTTTTTATGTTAAAAAAGGATACAGTTTTGCAGAATCAACATGCAAATTTTATGGGGCCTGAATGATATTGCTTATTTTAGTATATACAACATCCATTAACTTCAAAACCATACCGCGTTCAGACAAATATATTATAACTCTAAGCATTGAATCTATGACCTATATAATTTATTTGGCTTCAAGGTACTGTAGGCTTTTATGGCGAATGCAAATACAAATCAATATATCAGCCCAAATGCAAAAGTATTAAGTTTAATATAAGAAAATCAGGTAAGTAAGGGGTTATATAAACATAAAAATCACCTCAATGAACTAAATCATATCTGAAGAGAATTCTGAGAAGGCAAAATGTAGGTGTCCCTGTGCAGAAGTATAGGCAAATCCTTATCAGAGTCTCTTGTCTAGAACCCTTTCCCCTCTCTGTGTATCTGGTTCTAACAAGTTTACAAGATTATTGTGGATACAGCAAGCTGGAAGTAGAGCAGATGCTTCCATAGCAATAAAAACATGGCTGACGTCACCCAACAAAAAAGAATATAGGGAAAAACATTTTAAGATGTTTCAGGGATAATTTATCTTACCATTTTACATATCATATTAGTTAAGGTAATCAATGCTATCTGGTGTAATGAACAACCTTAGTTGTCTGTGTTAGCACAAAAAAGGTTTATTTTTTTGCTCATCTGGGATAGTTTTATCCACGCAGCTTTCTTCCTAGTGGGCTCCCAGTGATTGAGGCTCCTTTTGTGACTTGCCCATTTCTGAGTCCTTCTGGAGGAGGAAGAAAAGAAATGAGAATCAAATGATATGTTTTAGGGGCCAGGTTTAGAGATGACAATCTTTGGTTTTGTCCAGACTCCACTGGCTAGAACGAGTCACATGGCTTTACCCACATTTAAGAAGGCTGGATAAAACTCTTCTAGTCACTACCTGGCTCATTTACAAATGTTTCTTCTTTTTCAAATTATTTTATTTTTGACGGTGTGGTAGTAGTGATTATTTATGGAAGACTTGCTAACAGTAAGCTCATTCGCTTAAGTTTTTTCTAGTTCAGGGTTGCATTAGAATATTATGGACTGCTTAAGAGTTCTACATGTTCACCCAGAGTCATCTTAGATTTAGAGCATCTCAACACTGTTAAGGGGGTGCTGTTGAAAATAAAAATCATTTTTGGAGAGGTTTTTTTTTTTTTTTTTTTTTGCTATAGGGGACGTGCGCTCACCAGAAAGACAGAGAGAGAGATAGAAAGTGAAAAATCACCCCCCAGGGGGGATGGCCATGCCACAGTCCCTTCTCCATTCTTCTCTCGGGATCTTGTGCACACATGTACATGCGCCTGGTGTGAGTTTAAGCCACCGGGTCCAAGACTCGAACTGTGGTCAGCTACATGAGAGTTCAGCGACATAGCCATTATGCTAACTGCTGGTCCCCAGGGCAAAGAGTTTTGAGCTGGTAGACAGAGCAAGGTTGAGCATTTCACACGTTGTAAGTGCACCAGTAAACATGCACAGTTTTCTGACATATCAGCAGAGGCTTACTAATCCTTAAATATTAAAATAATTGAGGTAGCCATCTTTGACGCTGGTTCTTTTGTTCTTTGTGTGTGTGTGTGTGTGAGCCTTTTGTAGTAGTTTTAAAAATACCCATCTTGAGTAGCATTTTATCAATGAATCAAGTCATATGATATGCCTTGTAAGTTTCATACTCTTCTTACACTTTCTCTTGGGTTTCTTTAGGAATATTCAGAAAGATGGTTCAAGGAGAAACTTGGGTGATATTTCAGAGCTATGTGCATTGCACTGGGTAATAAAACATACTCTTGTCAGCAGATGAAAAATAGGTTCCAGGATTAACACTACATCTGTGGTCATCTTGACTTGAGGAGGACCATGACTCAGTTGTGAGAAGCTTGGAATTTGAATTCGGATGAATTCTAAGGTAGATTGCCTGGTATTTTAGTATTTAACCCCAAATTGTTTAATGAGAAGCTTGTTCTAATCTCTTAGGAGAAAATTGATGCAATATAAAATCATATCAGCAGACATAAGTAATCTCATAAAGATTAAACTCATACCTGTATTCTATTTCCAGTCGTACCATGAAGCAATTCTGATCTTGAGACTATCTTGATCTTTTCTTCACGTCATCTAGTATTTGTATTATTCCTTGAGGGGAGTCCCAGACAAAGAGAGCTGATTATAGAAAATGCTGGTCTATTCAAATAGAGTATCATAGTACAAGACTGTCCATACTGGTGAAGTTAGCTAGGTGCTTCCCAAGTAGTTTTGGTTTTGCTTTTGCTCCACAGAGATATAGCATATGTTTATGAAGACTGCTTTTACCCAAGGTAGAGTGGTATTTTAAGCAATGATGGGACATTTGAGCTCAGAGGATTCACATCCATATTGGAGGACATGAGGAGAAGAGAATTAGAAAAGTACAGATTACTGTAAATTGAAAACTTCCAATGCTATTAAAAATCACATAGTGGCATGGTGGGTGACACATTGGACTGCCACATGGCTAACTGTAGTTTGAGTCCCAGACCTGGAGGCTTGAAAATCATGCTGGGTTCATGTGTGTGTGTGTGCCCAAAGTGCCAGAAAAGTGGCTATTCCCCCTGGGGAGTGATTTCTCACTTTCCCTCTCTGTGTCTATGGTGAGTACATGTATCTTATGGGAAAAAAAAAAAATAAGGATTGACCTTTATAAAATGTTGTGAGAAGGAAAAGAAATTGTTGTATAAACACAGTATCTCATTAAGGGCAGGGAACTAATTTCAATTTAATAACTCCCTCCCCTCTCTTCTTGAGTAACTACAAAGACAAGAATGAGTGGCTGCTTTGGTGGCTTGTGTAAGTTCTCTAACCAATACCTGCAGAGCAGAGGTGAAAACAGGCGCCTCCTGCCAATCAGCGTGAACCCATCTATGCCCATGTGCCCTCACTGCCTTTGATGTAGCAGGCTCTGTGTGCTTGACACTGGGACACAGTGTCAGAACCTGGTGTGATGAACGTTGTGAAATGGGATGGGTATAGAGTCATTTGGGAATGAAATTAGGGGGCTAATGGAGCTGGTGGGAGGCGACAGGGAGGCGAGGTGGGGGAGCCACTGTGAGGAAGTGGCCTTTCAGCTAAGATGTGAAGGGTGAGTAGGAGGAAGCCAGGTGAAAGGAGCTGCCTTAAGAAAGAAGAAACAGCATGTACAAAATACCTGAGGCAAATGAACCTTCCTTCGGGGAAACTGAAAATAGCCCAGGAGGAGGGAGAGAGTCTCTTGAGAGGAGCTGGACAGGAAGGGGAGGCTGATCTAGCTCTCAGCTCTTCTCCTCGCTGACTGTGATGAAGAGAGCAGAAGAGGGGGTGGGGATGTTCTGACTGTGTCCCCCTCCTGACTTGGAGGCACACCAGTTTCAAAGCCGTACCCAATAGCTGATGCTTTATCATCAGTTCTTCAACCCCTTTTGACTTGTTATTCTTCTGTCAGCTTGAGTTAGGTTACCAGCTTTTTAAACTTAGGACTAACAAATTGTTAACTCGAAGTGTTTCCATAGGCACTGAGCAGGTATCAGGTGCTCTAAGGGACAGGGGACTCTGAAAGTTGTAGGGCCACGTTACAGAGCCCCTTTGGCCTTACAGAATGTCTGCCACAGGAGTCAGCATCACACCATGCTGCAGCCCTGCCTTTCTCTAGAGACAGCACCTTTCCTTTTTAATTGATTCCCAGTGGTGCTTTCTTCCTTCCAGGCCCTGCCTGACCCAATAGGGAACCAGAGAAGTGGCGTGCCTCCCTTTTCCATGAGAGTCTCTCTCTGAGGAGAGCGTTGGGCAACATTGCTCTGCTAGGGTTTTCATCTTCTCTCTGTAATTTAGATTACTGAGTACCCTAATTTGCCCACTTTAACATTTAACCATACCCTACACCGCCCCCCCCTTGAAAGCATCCCTATTTAGCAAAAACTACAATAATGACAAAAAACAATGGTTAAAATTTTTTTTATAGCCTGAGTAAGATGCTAGAAATAATGCAGTCTTTGGGTAAATTTATACTAAAGGGAAAATGATTGAAAATATCTTCTTTGTGGAAAGTACTTTGGATTTTTGTGAATTTTTATTTTTCAAAACTTTGCACATTCGCCTGGGATTTTAGCTAGCTATTGAGTCAAAATAAAGACTTTCCAACTGTGTAAAGAAGGTATTTTATATCGCAGGAACGTTTTTTTGAAATCCTTGGCACCATGCCTGCAGGCAGTCACAGACAGCGCCAAATGGAATTAGACTCTGGGCTGATATTCATGGATTAGTTAGTATTTTCCTTTTTGAAATCTATCAGCTGCTCAAACCTGCAGACTCAAACAGGAGCATACTGGGCAAGAGAGTCCCAGAAGGCGGACAACCTTATTCAGCTCACCCCACAGCACCACACACACACACACACACACACACACACACACACACACTCCTCTCTCCCCTTGCCACCCCAGGGTCTTACTCCAAGGCGAAGAGCATCCCAGAAGTCCTAAAAGGCAGACCAAATCTTGTTGCTTCCTCAGCGGCTGAAAGTGCATCCCTACCCACCCCCAAACCAGATCTCCATAGGGGACACCCAAGTGCCTGCAGCCCGTGACCTGTTCCGGAGAGGTGCGGTGCTATCACCGCCAGCACCCGCGGCTCTCACCCATCTCCAGCTCCCCAGCTCGCTCTCTCTGACCCAGCTTAGGCGGGCGCAGCTGGGACCCCTCTGTCTGGGGCTTTGTTCGCGGCCCTCGGAATTCCTCCTCTCAACCTGGCTCGCAGCAGCCCAGCACATCCGACCTACAGGAAAGTTGCTCCTGAGCTATGGAGGGGCGTCATCGCCTCCTAGCAACGCTCCTAGCAACCGGCTAACATCTGCTCCCTCTGGTCCAATGCGAGCCTAGAACAGCTGCGCGCCCGCCTCGCGTTCGAACCCGGAGTGAGAGGCGCTTCAGAGACTGGAGGGACGGACCTGCAGGAGCCAGGGCTGCCCGCCGAGCTTGCAGTTGCCGGGCCGCCGCCGCTGTCGCTGTCAGCGCCGGTCTGAAGAGTGACAGCGCCGCAAAAGCAGGCGTGTGCACCGAACCCCGCGCGCCTTTACCAAACAGGTGCATCCGCCCATCTCCTGGTGAGTGGACCCAGCTCGCAAGGTATGTGTGGACTCCTCCAGCCGGATGCCTTCCTCTGAGGCTCAGAGAAGATTCTATCGTTCTGAGGGTAGGACAGGGACGAGTTCCGAGACCCCACCCCGCCCCCAGCTATTGAGAAGTGGCCAGCTGCCGATTGCAAATAACCTGACTTGATTAAAAAAATAAAAATCTTGGAATTGGTTCTTGAGAATGCCCCTGCTCATCGTGGTTAGGTTATGCTCAGAAGTTTTCAATCCTCCTTTTTTTTTTTTTTTTTTTTTTTTTTTTTGCTGTGATTTCGCTGCTTGTGTATGATCAGGAGAGCTGGAAGCAGCAAGCCCCACAGAAACCTGTGGTTAAGGCTAAAACGACAGAGTGTAACCTCGACTAGCTGAATCAACACGCACGGAGAGCAGCATGCTTTGGGGGTCTTCCCCTGGAAAGGGTCCGTTTGGCGAGGCGCAGCCGTTCACTGTTCCTCAACCTTCTGAAAAGTAACCATAGTAACTCACCTCTCTTTTGATGGGATCCTCCTTATTGGCTGCCTATCTTCCTTTGGAAAGCTCATCTCTCTAAATATAGAAGATGATGAGATCTGTAAGCACACATCCATGTAGAAAAGGTGCAGTGAAACATATCCCTCTAAATAAAAACTGTCTTCCGAAGCAGTAAGTAGCATTTGGCTATTTCACATCTTGTGAAAAAGAGTGTGTTTCCAGAGAGAAGGGGGGAGAGGGAGAGAGCGAGAGAGATCCAGTTAGTCTGTTTTGAGTTAGCTGCTGGTTACTTTAGAGGGATTACTTCTTCAAATAATACAAAATCTGGCATTTAAAAACAAGGACAACTGACTCTGATCTATGTTAAAAAAAAAAAATCAACCTAACCAACCTACTGATAATTCTCCAAAAACAGTCTCCCAAGTAAACAGCTGGTGAGATCAGCTATTTCCAAATTTCTCAAGATAGTTAAGATTCTTCATGTTTAACCTTAAATCCGGAGACATCGAAGGGGTTGTGTGTGCTTAGAGCTTTATCTATCTTTCCAGTCCAGATCAACCCCACCTCAAATATCTTAGATAGTGGCCCTCCAATTGCGTGCTCTCTCCTGACTTGATAGCCAGTTCATGTCAGCGCGGTCTTGACTTGTCCGATGCTATTTATGCCTGTCTGCTTGCTTCAAGAGCTCAGGTAACCATTCATGAGCCCGAGGCTGTGAGAAATGCTGGCTGTGCAGTGGGGAATTCTCACCAGATTTTCTGAAGCCGTCCTAGAAATACACTCTTCAGATTGATTCAGCATTACCAGGTAATCACTATTTTAAAAGAAATGACTGTTTAAATATGGAGCCAGAGAAATAAATGCTCATGTAGCACTGCCGTAACTTGCAAGATCAACATAAAGGGTTGTTTAAAGAGATGGTTGCCGGGTAGAAGTCAATAGACATTTTCTGTAAAAAAAGATATCTGTGGGCTACGGTTTTCCTCTCGAAGACCCGTGTGAATAGCGTGGGCCAGATTAGGTAGCCTGGCTCTGGGAACATGTCAAGCAGAAGCCTTCTGAGCACACTGGTGCATGTCTGAGTGAAGGAAATGAAGAGAACTCTCCAAGTTGCAAAAGAAATTGTGGTGATGCTTTAAATGTAATTTGCATTAAGTTCATGATGATAGAAACCTATTTTAAACGGAATTTTTAAAGACTGAATAGAGTGTTTGAGCAAGTGCTCAGCCCTCCAGCACCGTATAATTTTCATATGTACTGAGCTAGCCGTGTGCAGTTCCTGTAGGTAACTGATCTAGCACATTGAGATCACATTCATGAAAATGTACTATGCTGCATGTCTTCCTGTTCTTTACCTATCTTTATTTTTTTAAAAAATTGAAAATTTGTATTCAGATATTATGCAAAAATTAATTCTGGTCTGGTGGTATAGGTTTAAGAATATCATGAGACTTTCAAATGATTAGTCTCTGTAGTCACTTATGAAAATATTTAATGATTTTAAATATTGTGGAGGACCATTGAAACATCAGAAATGTCGGTTTCATTAGCTATTACCATTGCCCATTCGTTTTTCTTTATCATAATTACTATATGCATTTTATGATGAGAAACAAATCCAAAGAGGCCAATAAGATTTATTGTCATCTGCCATTAGGGGTGTACAGAGTTCTATTCATGCTATCAATCTAAGGAAAGTTTGACTAAAGCAGCCACAATTATTGCTTCATGTATATGCATTAGTCTTGAGCATTAGTAATTTATATACATCCTCTCTCTTATGTAATATGCATAGAAGTTTAAAATCATTCAGGGGACCAGCAGTTAGCGTAATGGCTATGTTGCTGGACTCCATGTAGTTGACTATGGTTTGAGTCCTGGACCCAGTGGCTTAAACTCATGCCGGGTGCGTGTGCATGTGTGCCCAAGATTCCAAGAGGAAATGGAGAATGGCTATCCCCCCTGGGGAGTGATTTCTCACTCTCTGTCTCTCTCTTTCTGGCGAGCGCATGCGGCCTATAGCGAAGACCTCTCTGAAAAAAAATATATAAAATTATTCAATACTCTTTAATTTATGTGAACTAGTCTGCCTATTTTTTTTTTCTTTAGCTTTATTTATTTAGTTATTTATATTGTCATAGGGTGCATGAGCCCACTGGAGGGAGAAAGAAAGGGAAAGTGAGAAATCACTCCCTGGAGGCCCTTCTTCTCTGTTCTTCTCTTGTGATTTGGGGCACACATGCATACACACCCGACATGTTTTTCAGGCCCTGGGATCCAGGATTCAACCACAGAGTGGGCCATGTGGCATTCAACATCTTAACTACCACACACCTGCTAGCCCGAGTCTGCCCTTTTTGAGAACGGTCAAAACGATCAAATTGAAGAGATTTTTTAAATGTAATTTTTATTTTATTATGCATGTGTAATATGCAGAAAAGATTCTGTAGAATTTTGATGCACCGATCTTTTTAAAATGTCATGAATCAAAAAGTTTTAGCATTGTATTAGCTTTTAATAAAACAAATGTCATGATATCATTGTAATATAAACCTAGGCAAGCCAGTGGGTTCAAATTGAGATTGTAGAAAAAAGAATTTGCCCATTTGTATTTAAGGATTTAGTTGTCCTCATCAATGCAAACGTCAGCTGTGCTCGTACCGGCTGGGGTTGGTTCATAATGAGGGCGTGCATCTAAGGGTTTAAGATGAAATGAACTGAGATTAAGAAGGTTGAAACTGAAACCAAGTTCTAACTTCAGTCTTCTTTCCTCACATAGCCTATTCGGAAGGTTTTAGATATGTGTGAAAATTCCATGTTTAGTTTTATGTCATGGAAACTTCATGGGATTTGGAACATACCTTGAAACAGGGAAAGATTGAGAACTTGTATGAAGTGCATAAAACCTTACCTCCACACCTGGGCTCTCTACTGATGACTCATGCCAGCTGGCTTCCACTGTCAAAACACTGACATCCTAACAATAGCTCTAAAACCAAGGAATAACCATCTCCAATTGCTCTATTTGTCAAAGCAATATGTTTCAGAAACTAAAGCTAAAATAAAATAATTATCTCAGAAGTAGAGGTAGGAATAAATCGACCCAAACCATTTAGGATCCAAACTAAGGAAGTATACCTTCAGGTTTTGAGGAGCCAAACCTTGTCAGTTCTCCCTCCCACCCCTTTTTTAAAAATATGGTGTCTGGGAGCAGCACATGGCATAATGGTTATGCTAGTGAACTCCTATACAGCCAACCATGATTAGAGTCCTAGACCTGGTGACTTAAAACTCACACCATGGGTGTGTGCTTGTGTGCTCATGAGCCCGAGAGGAGAATGGAGAAGGGATTGTGGTGTGGCCATTCCCTCTGTTGCTCCAGTGAGTACACGCACCCTATAGCAAAAATCTCGCTTAAAATATATAGGGACGGGACCAGCAGTTAGTGTAATGGCTATGTCGCTGGACTCCCATGTAGTTGACCACAGTTCGAGTCCCAGACCCAGTGGCTTAGACTCACGGTGGGCATGTGTGAATGCGTGTCCAAGATCCTGAGAGGAGAATGGAGAAGAAGGGATTGTGGCATGGCCATTCCCCCTGGGGGGGGTGATTTATCACTTTCTGTCTCTCTGTCTCTTTCTGTCTTTCTGGCAAGTGCACGCGCACTATAGCAAAAAACTATATATATATATATGTATATATATATACATATATACATATATATATACCAGCAGTTAGTGTAATGGCTATGTCACTGGACTCCTACATAGTCGACCGTGGTTCAAGTCCTGAACTCGGTGGCTTAAACTCATGCCAGGCACATATGTGTGCCCAAGATCCCGAGAGGAGAATGGAGGAGAAGAAATTGTAGCGTGGCCATCCTCCCTGGGGTTGATTTCTCGTTTTCTGTCTCTCTGTCTATTTCTTTCTGGCGAGTGCACGTACCCTATAGCAAAAACCTCTCCAAAAAAGAAAAATATATATATATATAATCTATTGGGTCATCCATGTGGTCTGGTGGGTAAGACGGCTGAATATCCAAATGGCTAATCAATGTTCAAGTCCCAGACCCAGATATAGAAACACAGTAAACGGATGTAAATACAGATATAGTGTGTGAAAGTGCAGGATTTGAGGAAAAACAATTAGAAGAAAAATGGGGAGGAAAAGCATTAATGGGACAAAGACATGTGCCAATTTCTGTTAAAGATATTTTATAATTTAGTCAACTGGACTAGGGAGAAATGTTCACATGTTAAAATATTCACTTTGTAAGCTAAATAATGTGATTGACTGTATAAAAAATAAAATTAAAAATAAAAATAATAAATACATAAATTTAAAAAAGAAAGGGAAAAAAAAGCATGCTGGCCGTGTGTACATGTGTGCCCAAAATTCTGAGAAAAGAATGGAGGAGAAGGGGCTGTGAGATAGCTATCCCTCCTAGAGAGCAATTTCTCAATTTCCGTCTGTCTCTTTCACTCTGGCAAGCACATATGCCCTATACTAATGTTCCCCCTTTTAATTTAATATAACTATTTTATTTTCCTTTATTTAAATAAATTTATATGAACAGGCAAATAACAGAGTCATCCAGTTTACTGCAATAATTCTTGGTGAGGATGTTGGGAGGATGCTAGTGAAAAACACTATGGGTTTACTAACGATATGCTCGGTACTATATTGGAGTAGTCCTTCCTTATCTACAGGAGATACATTCCGGGTCCCCAGGGATGTCTGAAACCACACATAGTACCAACCCTATAAATACTTTATTTTTTCCTATACATACATACGTACGATAAAACTTAATTTATAAATTATGCCCAGCAAGAGATTAGTGAGAATACCTAATAATAAAACAGAACAATTATAACAATATACTGTAATAAAGTTTAATCTATAAATTAGGCACAGTAAGAGATTAGCAAGAATAAGAATAGAATTATAACAATATATTATAGTAAAATTTATATGAATGTGATCTCTGTCTCTCTTAAAATGAGCAGACTACTAAGGGCTGAAATCACAAAGAAGAGGGGACTAGTGTATAGACTCATATTAGAAAAAAAAAATCTATAGAAAGTGGGACCAGCATATAGCATAATGGTTACGTTGCTGGACTCCCATGTAGTCAACTATGGTTCGAGTCCCAGGCCCAGTGGCTTAAAACTCACACCAGCACATTTCCGTGTGTGCCCAAAAATCCCAAGGGGAGAATAGAGGAGGATGGATTGTGGCGTGGTCATCCCCACTGGGAGACGATTCTTGCTTTCTGTCTTTCTGGAAAGCACACAGGCCCTATAGCAAAAATCCCTCTCAAGCAAAGTATAGAAAATAAAGTGTAATAAAAAGCCTTTTTAGTAGGTAGATGCTTAAGCATTTTCTAAATATCAGTGGTGCTTTGAAGTGGAGTAGGGAACAGTCTGAGGAGTGGAAATCTCTGCAAGGTTATGTTAGAGCATGCATTATTTTGTAAGTGCTCATTGAAGGGATGCATGGGCTAGGAATGTCAAGAAAAGTTAGAAGTATTGTGGGGAGTTAGGATTCAAAAGCCTAGAGTCTCAATTCTGTCTCTGCATGCTACTTGTTTTCACCACTTTATGGTTCACTTTCTCCATATCTAACGTGCAGAATAAGACCATATACTTAAGTGGATGGTGTGAACTTGAACACAACAATGTAAGAGGCCCCCGTATCTCTTTAGGAGGAAGGAACCCTGTGAATGCAAGAGCAATTCCAGATGGGGACACAAACCAAACACCACACAGGGGAGGAGTCTTTAGAAAGTTTATGGAAATTCATAA